GCGACACGCGCGATAAAATTGAAATAAGCGCGCGCTATTGGCAATCTAAATTAGATTGAGAAAGCCAATAGCGCGCGCTTATTCCAATTTTATCGTGCGCGTCGCGACTATCATGCGTAGCCATGCTACGGGGGCTGATCTGTGTTGCGATTTCAAATGTAATTTGCAGTAGAATTAAGATATTTTAGATTGCTAGAAATAAATGTTGACAATATTAGACTGTGTCAAAATGATTTTAACCCACAATTAAAAAACAAAACAAGGTATCACAATTAAAAAACAAAACTAGATATTTTTTCCAGTCACATAATAGTAGAAAAAATGTTTATAATCTATGAGATGTCACTTGACAGTGAATGTTGTTTTTAACCGACTTCAAAAAAAGGAGGAGGTTCTCAATTCGACTGTATGTTTTTTATGTATGTTACGCTATAATTCCGATAATTGTGAACTAATTTTCACGATTTTTTTGTTGGAAAGAGGATACTTCCATAGTGGTCCCATTTAATTTTGAAGAAAATGATCCACCTGTAAGGGTGGCTGTTCACGCATGAAGATTCATTTTTATAAATAGAGCCTAAATTTTGGTATACTGAGCAATTATTTTATTGATTGATTTTCCTATTCTTTAATTCAGGGCGTTTTTCTCTCTCAATATACTTTGAGTAGTGAGAACCGATTTTCACCTGCGTCAAGTCCCGTATAGTGGCGAACTAGGGGATGAATCCGGGTTTGCGCACTTACCGTTAACCGATTTCAATAAAACTTGGTAATTATATGTAATTCCACGTACTTTTGAGGTCGGTTTTTTTAGTACTCTGTAGTGAGATTATTACAGATGCTTTCTGCCATGAAGCTGAAGAGACTCCAGTGGATCTTCTTAGCCAATGATACCCTTTAATAGGTTACTTATCAGCAGTCCGAAATTATATTTTCCAGAAATAACGTTCGCTCGAATTTTCATAACCGCGAAAGTAATTTTGAGACGAAAATGTTTTTTCTTTTAAACCTAACTTAACCTTTTTTTTATATATTTTTTACACGCTGGGAAATGTGTTACGCATACCGCTCTCTAAAATCTAGGTCCTCTACCCATCTTCGCATCAAAACGGCGCGACCCGCTGCCCTGATCCGCTTTACTTCTAACCGTGAACCGTTATACAAATAGTTTCTCAAAGGAAAAATTTAAATAACGTATTAAAAAACCTTATCATCGTATTATATCGTCGTATATAGATATATATCGTATGAAAAAACGTTAGTAAATACGTTATACAAATCTTTCTACGTTAGTTTTGATTATAGTGACCCTCCCTACCTACCCTTAATACGGCATACTAGAAGGACACTATAACCTGTGCGCGCACAGGAACCTTATAAGTTCAGGTTCTGACCCCAAATCAGCCAGTGTACAGGGTTCTCACAGACCTCTGTCACTTGACTTCATCCGGTTCTTCGAGAGGCTAGTGCCTCGGGTGAGCCGCCCCGGGTGCACGTACAGTACCCTCCCTATTTTTCAGATAGGTACCGGAGCTGTAGGCACTGAACGTGCCTTTCCCGTTACGCATTGCACAATTAGCAGTTGCCACCGCTGAGTCGTCAACTCTGAGTCCAATACCAAATCTCCTCATTAGCGGCGGAGCTGTAAGGTACGCTCACGTCCCGACACCGAGAAACGACGTCTCTCCAGTTCCCAATAACCTAAGCGGCTGGAGGGATCGGAGGACATTAGGGCTAGTGCCGGAGATGCCAGTCGCAGTGTCCTTCGACAATGTCCGGACATAGCTTCCGACTTAAAGGGCAACTCACGTGCCCCGCGCGTCTCCTCGCATACAGGCCCTCAACTAGACCGCTACTAAGACGCGCTAGCTGCTCACAAGACAGACGCCCCGGACACATGCAAAATCGGGGCAGACAAACATGTCCGTCTCTGCAGCTAACCACAAACCCTAGTGAGTCCATACCCAAGTCCGCGTCCGCCAGAAACGCCCGCAAAGGCGTATAATTGGCAGATGGCCCGGACGTCCGCTGTACCCTGGTCTTGCCGTCGAGCCCGTAGTCTCTCCGCAAAACCTTATCTCTCGGATCGGTAGATAGGGGCATCTCGGGTCGGTAGACAGGGACAGTTGCTTCAGCTGTACTAAGCACAAGTCCGGTCGTGTACAGAGTACTGTTGCCACATTTAAGATGGCTCTGTTACATACCAAGTAGCCACCTTTGATTCAATTGACAACCGTGCCAAGAAGCTTATAGGTGGCACGGAATTAGTGGAGGCGAAGCAACAGAGCCTTGAACACCGCCGTAAAGTTGCCAGCTTATCGGTACTTTACAGGATTTATCATGGAGAGTGTGCGATGGAATTACACGATTTATTCCGCTTTCCCCTTTCCATCACCGGGGCACTAGGCGTAGACTTGGGTTCCATCTCTATGTTGTGGATATTCCAAAGATTCGCACGAAGCGTTACGCTTCCACATTTATATGGCGAACGGCTATGGAGTGGAATTCCCTGCCTGCAGACTTGTTCCCTGAAAGGCTCTTTCATGGCAAAAGTGAATAGGCCTTCATCTATCGTCGACCTCATCGTCACTTTCCATCAAGTGAGATGGAGGTCAAATGCGAACTTAAATTAAACCTATTTTTAAAACTATTTAAAAAATAGGTTTAATCTTAGAAAAGTCATTTTCTGGCGTCGCCACTTTCAAATACACAATACAGAAGCGTACGCGTGCGTACGATCGGACCACCTGATCGAACTGAACGGCGCGCCGATTGCATTTGTCGGCGGCGGCGGCGCGAGAAAAAACGCGGCGGCGGCGGCGGCGCGGCGCTCATGTCTACTGCAGATCGAACCCGGCCCGCCCACGTTCGGCAGAAGACGTCTAATCGTATCTTTGCGATAAACACCCAACATATCCAGAAAGAGCAACGATTTCGTTATAATTCGGTTTTCGGTGTAATGAAAATTCGAACAAACGTTATTTCGGAAAAAAAAATGAGTTTATGAAAGGTTACCCCTTTAAAAGGCACAATATTCACTACTGGGTAAGCACATGCCTCAATCAAAGGAGATTAAAATTATCGCAACCAGGAAAATATTTATTCTGTTGGTCTTGGCTCTGAGTCAGAATTAGTAATCACAATATATATATCCACTGTTATGACTATAGTGTCGTAACTCAAAATTGTGGAATTGAGAAAACATGATTTCAAAATTTAAAAAATACTGAACGTAACCAATATTCTCGTTTATAAATGGATAATTAAATATTCTCATGATATACTTCGTTTCAATCCATTTTAAACAAAAAGTAAACAAACCAGTCACTGACACCATAGACGGTTTAGTGATGTCCAATCTCAAAACTACAAATCGATTAATTATTTGAATGAATCGATTTGTTCACTTGAGTCATACTAGCGGTTTTCTTTACATAACCTATATAAGCACATTTAAAATTTCAATTTAAATCCTCCTTCAAATCCTTACACTTAGATACTCGTTCGATTGCGATTGAAATGTTCAATTTAATAATCGATTACTAAACTTTAATTGATTGAACCGAACATTTTTTTTTTCGAACAGCACTATGCAACCATAGGCAACTCATAGAAGTATAGAGGAATAATAATCTCACTTTTGAACTACCATTTTTCAAATACGTTTTTACGATACTATTCAAATGAATATTGTTGGAAAAAGTGATGATATATCAAGTCGAAATATACGTGAAAGCGTTACTTATTCGATTTATTGAGTGATTGCTTTAGAATTTTAACCCAACAGGTTTGTTTACTTTTTGTTCAAAATGGATTGGAACAGACTATAGTAAAACATCGTGACATTCAACTCACTTAAAAATTACAATTATTAAAGCGACATCTCTAGTCAGCGGTGGTAACTATAAGGGTACCTCTTTGAAAATGACGGGCTTTTGAAGTTACAAGTACAGCTTTTACAAATATTAATAATAATAATAAATAACGCACACACTCAACATAGCCCCGCACTAGGGAAACCCTGTGTCGCGGGTGCCATGGACACACACATAGACAACCACAAATTACACCCAAACTCACGAGAGAAATAATTGTAGGCCATACAACTATTTCTCCCGGCCCGGGAATCGAATCTGGGACCTCTGCGTGGCAGTCCAGCATGGTAACCGTTCGGCCACAGAGGCAGTAAATATTATTTTGTTTTAAGTATATTATGAAGAAAAAACGAAGTGAGGAATAGTGATGAAGAAAGTTAGAACTATATTCCTTATTTAAAACCAAATTACAAAAGACTTTATCCTAAAAATTCAAATAATTACGAATTCAAAGTTTTTGTTCAAAGTGATAGAAGATAAGTAATGTGATTTAGGTGAAAGTGAAAACATAAATATTAACTAAGACGCTATTTTGACATTTGGGAGCACGTTCTCAAACTCAAATATTGTCTCTGAATTTCAGCCTTAGTGAAGAAATAAATTTTTCACAGATGGCACTACAGCAAAAGAAGGTGTTAAAAACCAAAAACAAAGATCTGCACAGACAAATGCGTAAGGTCTGCTGATTCATTCCATGCCTCAATGGCAGAGCATTAGGCATGGATAGCCTGTGGGTGCTGGTTCAAATCCAGCCGGATCGAATGATTTTTCTTAGTGTTCTGATCTTGTGTATAATAATCATAACAATGTAGTGGAGTAATTTCAGAAAAAATAATTGAATATTATGGTAGTAAAACATCGTGACATTAAATTAACTTAAAAATCCACACTTTTGAGTTACAAGACATTGTAATAGCAGTGTGATATGTATATTATGGCCTAATGGGTTTATTTCTGCAAGTCGAGTTTTGTAACGCCTATTTCGAAGCCACTCTAATAATAAAATCCATTTCATCTCACTTACAAACTACATAGCGCTCACAGGGACAGCACATTTAAAAGAAATAAAAAAGGGAATTTATCTGGGGTACATAATGAAATAAAAAATATTAGTAGATAATAGTCAAATTGTATTACTCCTTCAACCACACAGAAATCAATTAAGCAGTCATAACTTGAATTGAGAATAAATAATACTAATAAGCTAGATGTTACTTACTACATAGAGGTAACTCTATAAAATCTACAACAAATGTTTATCAAACTGTAAAGCCAAAACATCAGGTGTTCTTACAAGAGCTGCAGGCATTATTAAGCCAGCTGGTGTGACCAGATCACGAACCAGAAACTCGTGGCCTTCAAGGTTCAATCCGCAAAAGTTAGCTTGAAGGACTGACTGCTCAAATGTGAGAATGTTGCATGCTTCACCTGAAATAAATTGAAATGTAGACATGTAGCTACTCTGTGAACAGTAAGATAAAATAACTTAGTTTCATTTAAATAGCGGTCAACCGATAACTATAAAGCTGTAATTGTGGGAAAGTGTATGATGTAGCATGCCACTGTAATTACATTTCCCGAGATATTGGTTATATATTCTTCTGTACTTTAATTCTTTATTTGGTTTACTCTAAAATACTTATAGACGCCAGAGCAGCACTTCGCAAACGTAAAGATCCTTAATTACTATTATACAGATGTCTGAACTATCTATTTTTCAGTCCAGTAGCACGACAGGGCGCGACTTGCCCAGAGCGAATTAATAGCGCGAGATACTGCTATTCTCACATATCGCGCTTTAGTGTCCGTGTTCTGCTAGCCCTACAGTACTTGTCTTTTTACTTTTTATATTGATATAATTAATAACTCACCATTTAATTCGCTTACTGCTCGTAGGAAGGACTCGCGAAGTTTCGCTCTAGCCTCTTGTTTGAAGGTGGTTGTTTTGCTCTCAGTGGCTTTCACTTCAGATATCATTATGTGTTAATGTATTATTTTGTTATCTTCGAGTATATAGCGGTCGTATCAATGGTTTAATGCGGCGAGAGATTATTATTTTTGTGGTTTATTTACATTTTGCCTAAAGTTGACATTGACGTTACATTTTTTTTCGTCGTTCCGTTTGAAACAGGCGAAAGTCAGAGACCATACTGCCTAGTCATTGCGTTATGTTTACAAAGACATGATTCATATTGTTATTGAAAAAGATTAAATAAATCCAGAAAAAAATTCGAAAAATCGTAAGAAGTGTCAAACAGCGGTTACTCACGGCGACTTGGCAGCGCTGCAAACGCGATGCAGTCGCTAATCGTCTACCACACGCGCGCGATTTTAAGCAAGGGTGCAAACGCGATGCAAGCGCGCGCCTGCATCGATACAAACGCGCGATTGCATCGCTACACTTGGGATTTATAGGTGATTGCATCGATGCAGTCGCGAGTTTGTATCGATGCAAACGCGCGTTCGTGAAACGCGCTACACTTTCGATTTACAGGCGATTGCATCGATGCAGTCGCGCGTTTGCATCGATGCAGTCGCATATAAATCGCAACTGTAGCGCATTTCACGAACGCGCGTTTGCACTGCTGCTAAAAGTCGCCGTGTGTAACCCACTCTTAACGTGTTCCTTAACCCTCTACTATTATAGTACTAATAAAATAGTTCTCCTCCAGACAAAGACCAATTAACTGGTCTCAAACTCGGGAACTATTAGTACCGGAGCAACGGAATTCACCCTGCGGCACTACAGAGTACACCCATATTAGAACAATCCAGAAGTTAATTCACCAAATTCGTCACACGATGCAAACCGTTGTGACACAGACGTCATTATTATAACTTCAAAGTTCATTTTTTTATTACAATTTCATTTTTGAATATCGGAAAACTGTATACACAAAGTAAAATAAAGTATGGACTTCAAAAGGAATCACATATCCTCCTAAACCTCTGTACATTGAAAAGTGTCCCAGAGTAAATGTTGTTGTTGTGGTACTCTTAGTATAGCAAGTTTTCTAGTTGAAGACCACATAAGCCTAGCTCATTATATTTTTATATGCAATAAAATGAAACAATAAATTAGCAGTTCAAATCTTTAATTCATCAAAATCCCCTATTCAATTCACACTCAAAACAATCACAATGACATTGTTATGATGAAATAAAATAATGTGATAAATACCTGAATTACTCCTCAGGAGGAACTCGTTTACAGTAAAATCAGTGACCTCCCTAGGGATCAAACAATGTAGAAGTAGCTACGAGTTACACATTATCGTCTAAGAGAAGTGTCCGCTTATTAGAATGTACTACATGCATTGAATTTATTGGAATAGCTAACATTATACGCGCGGCTACGCTAAGTCACCTCAAATCGCTGGTCATTGTCGAGTCTTCAATCTTGAGACGTCTTCTAAGCAGATGGTTTAATTTCAAAAGTACCTCATTGCAGCAGTGGTCGCTTCGATGGTCTTCCTCTATTTGCCAACTGAAAAGTCCATGGAGCAAGCTAGAATCGCGAACTTGACTTAACAGTTAGTTTGGAAACACTTGCAATGTCTGAGATGTAAATTAACAAGGCTTTATTTCACTTTTATTTTTACCAATTTGGTTTGTTGACAAAATTCAAGGCTCAGTCATTGAAAGCTGAATTCCAAGAGGGGTTAAAAGGGTGCTCATAAATAAGGAAATATGGCCTCAAGTTTATCTGCTTCTTAAATAAATATAAGGAGGAAAAAAAAAAATGAAAACGTATAAAACATGACGCCATATTTATTTTGGGTACCTGCAAATACACAGTAGATGATGTGATAACAGCATCCTGTATCGCGATACAAGGAACGTAACGGGTGCTCCCTTCACATCTCCGTAACATGGCATTGTATGTGATGGCAATATGTAACGACTATAACGCAGCAAGTTATTTTGTTACTACACAGACAATAGTAGATATTAGATTGTGGAACATTTTGTGGATCCATTTTTGGTCATATTTTTTGTATAATTTAATCACTTAGGGTAGCTTTATAAATAATTTAGAACACAACACTTTGAAAGCTATATTTTAGAATAAATGAAGTTGTGTCTTACGGATTATCCCTATTTCCCTATAAAACATGGCCTAACAAATACCTGAATTCGCTTTAGCGATCCGCAACGGATGGCTGACTGTTGCAACTCGACATTCACGACGGCGAAACAAACTTGTTGAAATACCTCAAAACAACGTCGAGACGATCTGCTCGTTAGAAAAGGCATTATTGGATAGCCATAAAAACCTTTCTTATTACTTAGAATACTAAACAAGAAAGGTCTTGAAGCGATCCAATAAAGACATTTCGCAGCAACTCGCGGCAACTATTCAAAATACCAATCAAATACCTGCCATTCCGTCGGTGTGACGACATTAACCGAATCGAGAGTGCAACGGGGTCATTTACTCCCCATATGTTTGCCATTTAGCGGAGTTTTATTTTGGTATGTTACAATAAGCTGTAAAACAACAGTGTTCACTTTATTACTTGTCAGTATTAACATTTTTTTGGGGACAGGTCTATTGTGTTAGGTAGTGGTAATGGGTCGTTTTGTGGTAAAAAACTGATGAACGGATTATCAAGTTGACTTGAAGTTTGTAGATGGCAGTATGGTATTGTTGTTTAAGGCACCCTCGCCTTAAGGAGGTAGTCAAAGGAGAAGGAACATGTATACTTACCGGTTTCAGGCGCTTTTGTGATACCTCAGTCAGTTGCTAGTGGCGGTCGCGATCGCGGGAGCGCCGGCGGGAACGTTCGTGTGGCGACCCTAGCATTACACAAAGCATAACTACTCAGTGTTAATTTGCATCGAAGAAAAATAAAAAAAAGTATAGCTATGAACAAGAATTCTTGTGAAGTAAAAACCAATAATATCCTATATTTTTCACTGTTAGACATCTTGTGTACTTACGTCTCTCCTTGCGATGCTTGCGATCGCGGTCACGGTCCCGTTCGCGGTCACGATCGCGGTCCCGTTCGCGGTCGCGGTCACGATCCTTCTCCCCACCGCGATCCTTCTCGTCGCGGTTTGACCTGCCATGTAGAACAACATCTTTAAATACCATGCAAATGTAAAGAAAAAAATTTTAAAAGATCTGTTACATTTTTGGGGCTGATTGCACCCAAACAATAAACTTTTATTATGTAAACCCCTTAGTAAATACACATGCACATTGAAATGTGAAAGCAGAGTTGAGTATTTTTCTGCTATTTCTTGGGATCTTGGTTTGTACCGTTGTTCATATTAATGGATAGAATTAACTCTTTAATAATCTCGAGACATATAGGTAACGAGTTTTATAAACTTACCGATGACGCTCCCTATCTCTATCCCGCTCTCTCTCGCGGTCGCGCTCCCGGTCTCGTTCCATACGCTCCCTATCCCGCCGGTCAGACCCAAGACCGCCGCCACGGGAATTACGCTCCCGCTCTCGTTCCTCACGACGCTTGCGTTCTTTCTCTTGCTGCTCTTTCTCGCGAGCTTCACTCATCTCTTCGTAAGCTTGACGAAGTTTAAAATACCTATACACAAAATAAAAATGTTTTTCATGAACAATAACAAAGCCAAAATGATTACAATAGGATATACTTTATGGGTTTCGCTTGTGTTGACATTACTAGGCAAGGAGATCTATTTCATTTGTTAGTTGTCATACACTGTTTTTTAACTGGAACAGTTTGGAATAATTTGAAAAATAGTGCTAAATCTGCTATGATTCCGGTTTTCGCTTGACTGTCCCAATTAAAAATAAACGCAATATAGATTATTCAACAATTAAAAACAATAAAATCCTGTTCTATTTAAAATTTAAATTTAAGTAATGATAACTCATAATAAGTCCATCAATTTCTTCTGTTGTTGAAGTGACAAACATTTATGTGTTAGATATCTTACCCCACATGTTGTTTTCCTGATAAATGATCGTCAATGCGTTGCTGAGCGTCTCCTACTATAAGGAATGCTCCACATACAGGACACACTTCCATCTGCTTCTCTTGGGCTGCAGCCAGCTCTGCTGTCATGGACCAGTGGCTATAAACCAGATCAAAATAAAGAGTAATGCACTTGTGTACAGAAAAACCACCATTCATGTACACTGTTGCCCCTGCTCCATTGCACCCCAACACTATGCATGTAAGGTATACTTTGTATGTAAGGTCACTTTTGAATGCTTATTTTTTAACTGAGATTGCTTATTATTGCTGAGACTGCTTATTAATGAAGAAAGAACACATGGGCTGGATCATATGACAAACATTAGACTTTGCACTTGCAACTACTTGAATTGTATTTGTAAGTAGCCATAGGTGTTCAAATACTGATGCATGTCATTAGCTTAACTTAACTTAAACACGGCACCTTGTAAATATTATACTAAGTCTCAAAATACACTAGAAGTACAGCAGTGTGTTTTGCAATATGAGTATTTGCTAACAAACAATGCACATCTAAAAAATGAACATAAAGTAAATTCTTATCTAAATCATTCATCCTTTTTCTTACCTGTTTTCCTGTTGCTTAATTAGCTGCTCTTTTTCTTCCTTAAGTCTGTCACACAGTTTCATCAGTCCTTGAGCCTGTTCCACATCTCCTCGTGTCCCAGCCTCCTCTGCTTCTTGCATTAAACCTGTGATTTTTTCAGCAAGAAGTTTTACCTGGAACAAGTTATTTGGTTTTTTAAAGAAAATCTTAACACTATAGAATTCGTTCATCTGTTGAATGGTCTCATGTGAAATTCCAGCCCATTACCTGTTCCTGATTTTTTTCAGTTTGAGCTGGTGTCATTGGTGGTCCTTCTGGTTTTGAGTTCATCAATTCCAATCTTTGTTTGCCTTTCTGAATTTTTCCTTAAACAAAAAACATTCTTTAGATATTTCAAATTATATCATAACAATAATTGCTAACAAACAAATAAAGAATGCCTACTAATGATTGCAATATGGCCCATAAAAGGCATGGAATGGCATAATCCGTCAACTTAATCAAACTGCATTTATTATTATTATTATTATTATTGGGGTGGCTTCATTCTGAGCCTATGTATCCCCTCATCACTGCGATCATTGACTGATCTATTGTGCTCACCACTAATTGCAGAGCCTTTCCTGGCTCTGACAGATTAAATGTCCTCTGGTTGTGGCATTTGCCTTTCCAGGATGGAACTTCGAACGCCCATCTGGAGGTAGCATTGGGTGAGTAGATGAACAGGAGTTTCATCTGCCTTGTGGCAGAATCTACAATCTCTATTCTTTCTCTGCCCGATATTTGACATGTGCTTGTTCATCTTATAAGTTAGTTTCATCACACTGCATGTTATTAAGTTAGAGTTAAGTCACAGTTTTTCCACTCAAGAATGTATAAAAGCAATTATTTGGATCAAAGAAACATTTACTCACTCTCTACATCGCCGATCATGTGTCGGCAAAATCTAAGGAACTCCTCAACATACTGTGCCTTCTTATAAGTTGAATCTGCCCTCTCAAACAGGTCTTTGACCTCATCGTCGTGGACTTTGGGGCACGCACCGAGGTCAGCTCTTGTGTTGACGAATAAATCGTGGGGACAGAATTTCACCATATAATATTTACAGTACTGAAAACAAACACGTTAATCATAAATTGTGTATAATTACGCTTTAATATCATTCTACATCGACAAGCTTTAAGTATAAAATATGAAAGAAAGCTTAAAACAATGCTAACTGCAAGCCTCGGGCAAGATTTTAAAATATTAGAATCTTTGCAAAATATATTCGATATACCATACAGAAGCATGGATTATTAATGCATGTGCCGTGAATCGTTTGATTTGATATACCTACCTCGGGATCTTCCCAGTTAGGTTTCTTAATTTTTTCATTGGGGTTACTGTTGCGATGTCTGCCCATCAGCTCGTCTAGCAATTGTGCGGCTGCTAGCACCGCCATCTTTTAAGATTATTTACACTACCCGCCTATTCACAAACTAGTCAAACTATTTGATTATGGTCGTATAGTACTACTTATAAATTAAACTAAATAACTTAATATTTTTGTAAAATCACAAGCATGTAAAACCATCCGACATTTTTACATTTGATTGAACGAATGAAATGACTGAACCAACAAATAATTGATGAACGAATAGTGAGAAAGATTACGCAACATTTTTATTTGGATACACGCACAAGAGTCATAATCATAATTCATTCATCATCTTTACCGTGTAAGGGAGTCAGCACACTTATCGACATGAAATCGGATTCACTGCAATCGCAAAAAGCTATATTATGTGCATGTAATATGAGTGTAAAAGAAGTTTCACTTCCGTTCAGCGAAAGGCACCGTCTTTTCCGCTCTCATTACTTGGGCATAAACCTGATACCTGCATGGCAGTCCGCCGCGCAGCAAGAGATTTCTCACACACTATCCTGCCTGTATAGCCCACGTATGGAGTCTCGCAGGACGCATTGCAGGATTGCAGGATGGCTTGCACGCTGCTACTACATCCATATCCTGCAATACGCGGTGGTCGACAGGGCGGACGCAATACAAGATAATGAATGCCCCCTTTAACACAATCATTCGTCAAATAACAGTAATACAGTAAGTTTCACGTAATGGATATTTTTTGCGGAAAAATTTCTGAAAAATTGAAAAATATAATTCGACGGCTCATATTATGTTCTTCGTTTCGAAATATATTTTGAAGTTTTATTTAGCGTCAAATATAAAATAAAATTGTGCAACTACAAACAAGTTAAATGGGGCATTCATTATCCTGCATTACAGTCCACCTATGCCGCCCGCCGTGTAATGCAGAATTATAAATGTCGACAGCGTGGATTATACGTAGAATAGCGTGTGAGCAGTCTCATGTCAGAGCGGCGGATTGCCATGCAGGTTGTGAATGGGCCGGTTTAGAGAAAAACGAGATTTAAAACTATTGGACAGCAGCGAAAACATTTTTAAAATTTTTGACAGTTGTCAACGTCAAATGGAAAAACATTGAAAGATATCCGGAAAATAAATTCTTTTTAAAAATATGACTTTTTCAAAATGGAAATTTTTTCACGACCTAACATCAAATAATAAAACTCAACAAGGAATATTATTAACTTCAAAGTTACAATTAAGTAGTATAATATGAGAATAATTAATAATTTTAGCTTTGTGTGAACAATGTTCTGTAGAGAAATATCAAACTATAACTAAACCCATGACATCAGTAATATATCACGTATGTTCAATAGAACATACTTCTAACTAAATATTTTATTTCTCTCTCTATTATTAGAAATTGTGCGGTGAATTTTAACTGTTCTACACCACTACTCGTACTCAAAATCGATGACGTATCCAAAATTTATGAATAAGAATACAATGAATGAAAAAGACTATAGTAAAAAGTTCACACTAATTATTTTAAATAAAATAATGAATTGTTTTGCACTTGTATTTCTCTTCGCACAAAGGGGACATGTGACTCGAAAGAAAAAGTCAATTAGCGTGGGAGTAGCGCATTGCACTGTAAATTTAAGTTATAGGGCCTCAAAGCTGCCAAATATACTAAAATCAGTCAATGTGTCGGTAAACGTAATCATTAAGAGCTTATGTACACGTATTTTATACGCACCGACGACGACGCGCAGATAACGTGCGTAGCGCAGTGGAATACCTATATAAGCTTCTTGGTTCCATCGCGATTTTTGTGTGGGTTTCAATCGATTCAAACGCACGTAAAACGCGACACAGGCGCGCGTGCTAAGCGCGTTTAAATCGATTCAAACGCGCACAAACAAAAATCGCGTTCGTGTTTTTTGTGCGTTTGAATCGATACAAACGCACAATCTGCCTTTTGAGCGTCTATGGCCGTAAACGCGCATTCGTGAAACGCGCGTCAACAGCGCTCATCGGAGCGTATTCAATACGCCATGGCTTTTATCGTCGTCGGCTAGCAATCGTATCACATTGTTACTTTTATGCCGAACTGCAAATCCATCCCTTGAGACGCTTGTTCACCTGTTTCATTCATTCTTAGATGATCTGTCAATGTCATACTTAGTCATTCACCGTTCAGTTTTGATTAGTTTTGATAAATAAATGTGTTCACGAAAACTCGTAATTCATGATTTATCATATATTTCCTGTGCAAATAGACTTATATTATATGTAACTATAAGTTTGTCCACATCTAGACTAGTAAGAAATTTGTGTTCAGTGCAATAATGGGAGGGTTATTTGGTAAACACAAAAAACCGCCGAGCAGAATAACCGAGCAAGATAAGGCAGTGTTGCAGTTGAAACAACAACGAGATAAACTAAAACAATACCAGAAGAGGATAGAAATAAACTTAGAGAAAGACCGACAGTTAGCAAAGAAGCTACTGAACGATGGTAAAAGAGACAAAGCTAAACTTCTACTGAAAAAGAAAAGATATCAAGAACAACTCCTACAGAATACAGACGCGCAGTTAGAAAAGTTAGAACAGCTTACTCACGACCTTGAGTTTGCTCAAATTGAAGTTCAAGTACGTATCATCCCATTACACCATACCCTACCCAACCATGTATTGTGTAATATGTTATTACACAGGGTTGTTTTTAATTAACCTGTAATCTCTTAACACGGCTTTTTTATAACTAAAATTAATATTTTGGTTCTATAATCATCTTATTTAAGAGCTAGGCTCTTGTCAGTTGTAGCCTTCTCCACTCCTCACGGTTCATAGCCAGTTCTTTGACATCTCTATAGCATTACACTTTGATCTTCTTTTTTATTTGTTCTTTATACGCCATTCTTGGTTTTCCTCTCTTTCTTTTCCATTATATCCTCCCCTCAATTATCACTCTCACATTCGTCATTACAAATGTCCAAACATTTTCCCCCGTCTCCTCTCTATTGTATTCAAAAGACTTCTCTCCTCCCCTACCCTTTCCAAAACTTCCTCATTTGATCTCTTTTCAATCCATTTTATTTTTTCCATTCTCCTCCAGCACCACGTTTTTCAAATGACTCTAATCTCTCTCAGTGTTTTTTATTATGGAAACCCTGTTTTGTTATTGCCATTGCAGTCTTTAAGTCAGTGGTACATTTGGAATCTTCTGTGATAACACTACCAAGATATTAGAAAAAATGGTACCTGTTCTACTGGAATGTCATTTATTTTGATGGGTGTAATTTTGGAAGGATGTTTTGCAGTTACTAATACTTTGGTCTTATTTTTGTTAATTGTCACAAAAATTTTGTTCTATGAGTCACAAACATGTGTGGACATCTTAATTCGTTTATTGACAGGAACAGCATTTAAACAGCATTTACTGTAAAATGAAATATCAGAATATTATAGTACATCAAACCAACTATGGGCTCAACAGTGCGATTTCCAAGTGCTTTCTGTGTAGTCGCCTCCTATTGCTTCTCCATAGAGAAGTATCAACAACATACTGACAAAGTTCAATGATTTACATTGAACATTTTCTATGAATCAATGTAAGCACTACAGCACAAAGAAAACTAGTGCCATGTTAGCCAAAGGGCTAACAAACATACATCAGTCACAATGTGTAACAAGAGCTACCAAAACTTTGCTACAAATTGCAACAAAAGTTGTTATGAGACCCAGTATGTTAAATGCTCCGGTCCCAAATATTTAAATAAAACATTATTAAATATATTATTATAGTAATTAGATATTATATTAAATTTAGTTATTTATATTATTACATAATATTTAATTATTAGTAATATTATATTATTAAATAGATATTACATTATTAATAATATTAACTATTTACTGTCATTTTCATTGCATTCTCTACTTTTTGAATTATCGTTTGTAGAGGTTTGTTTGCATAGATTAATATTAAACATATGTTTTAATTTTTAATTGCGCTCTTCGGATTTGCACAATTTTTTTTTATATTTGCAGGTACTTGATGGCCTGAAAACTGGAAATGAAGCATTGAAGAAGGTTCACGAAATCCTGAATGTAGATGAAATAGAAAAGATTCTGGATGAAACAAGAGAAAGTATTGATAAACAAAGAGAAATTGATGAACTCATATCTGGTCAACTAACAGAGGAGGATGAAGAGGCTGTGGAAGCAGAACTCGAAGAGATCCTTGATATCCAAGATAAGCTGCCAGAGGTGCCTACAGATAAGCTGCCAGAAGTGCAGAAAGAAAAGGCTAAGAAAGAGAAGGAAAAACGTATTGCCATGGAAGCCTCATAATTCTATAATATTGTCATTATAAATAGATTAAGAATAAATTGTACCTATATTTTTAGATAAATTGTTTTTCTTGACTGTAAATTATTGCTAACCCCTTTGTTAATTTGTCTTTACTTTTTTCACTCCCTTTTGGCTTATTAATTTCAGTACGCAGTATTACAATATTTTCCCTACAATAACGTTAACGCATTTGATATTCGACGATACCGCCGCCGCGCCCCGGCCGCCCGTGCAAGTACTTACACTGTCATACGCAGATAGGCAAGGGTTGTAAAAAATGGAGAAAAGGATGATTATTATAATGTGATCATTTATTATCAATAATTTTACTTATCATTATACATAAAATAATTATTAAATATTACATAACTATTTTAGTATGGTAAGATTTACAAGTGTTCAACTGCCAAATATTTACGCTACATTATTTTTAGATGTGTTCCGTTTTCTATTATTAAATTTAACTAATAGGGTATTCGCATTCCGATCAATAAGAATGGGGAAAACATTAGGTTCTATTCCCACTAGTTCAGTTGTCAAAAAACTTGTTCGTCCCGTCATTTGATGTTATAAAAAATAAAAAAAGTTACAAGCCACCCGAGCGTCTACGTATTTAGCAGTAAACCCTCAACTTTCTGGGAAAACCCCAAATTGGATTCCTTATGACGTATTGGTGACATTTGATCAGACTCTTGGCACTATGGGCTTTCAAAGGAGCGGAAATTGCTCCACGATTTACTAAACGACATGGTCAATGAGTGCGGTTTGAGCACAAGTGACATCAAAACCTCTATAGTGAAACATCTGTCTGGGCCAGATACTGCTTTCATAGAAAATAATGACAATTTGCTTCAATACGTGTATGGTCCTAGAGCAGGAATGCTAGAACTTCGGCGTTCCTACTACAAACCACCTTCCAAGTGTATGCGTGCTGCTTTGCATTTTACACATTAACCTTTTGACGACAAAAGTTAATCTACCCACAAAAAATATAATTTTAATCTTTTAAGTTTTCGCTTTATATGCTTTTCGTTCTTAGATGTACCTTCACTCTTTTTTATTGTTTTGACATTTCATCACTAAATTATTTCATTCCACAAATTAGCTGCTAAGTAAAGGTTTACGAGTTTCTGTAGAAGATATCTTTGCAGTATCGTAAATACGCGAATCAGTGTCTATCAGGTCACCTTTTGTGCTGAACAAATTATCTGGTAAGTGAATAACTGTTTTATGAGCATGTAATTTCATTACTGAGACACTTGTGCGTCGCTAATACCCAAAAATGTATGGGGACACCTGTGTCCCTGTGGTCCGGAAGAGTTGTATTCGACACCAAAACTCGTGACTTTATAAAATAATTTTTGTACTTTTTCTATAGTTACTGATATTTTTTATCATAGATCATGATACGGAAAACTCGTGAAATCTTCGAACTCAATGAGGAGTCTGTTCGTCAAATTTTGTTGGCCGATAATAGTGACGAAGAAGACGCATTGCAACTTAATGAAAATGTCAACCAAGGGGCTGCGTATGTGGAAATTGAGGATTGTGTGGCTCAGCCTCAAGTACCAAAAACGTTGCAGTTACCTCAGTCTTCAACATCGACTGCAGAACCCACTCTAGACGATAACCGTAACAACCAAGTTATTTTCAAATGGAACCAGCGAACATAATAATTGTACCCAACATTTTTTGTGATATGGAATATGACTTTGGGAACGTGCAAATTGCTACCTACTGAAATGGATGCAGATTCATTGACGCCTATTGAAATTTTCCAATCCGTTACTAAATTTTATATCTTGATCAAACATATAGTGACGGAGTCTACGCATTTTGCTGAGTTACGCTCAGCAAAATGGTCGTGAATTTACAATCACCAAAGAAGAGATGAAAGCCTTTTTAGGCATAAACTTGATTATGGGCTATCACATATTGCCATCTATTAGGTATTATTAATCTACGAAACCAGATATGGGCGTACCTTACATATCAAATGTCATGTCAAGAACCCGATTTGAAGATATACGCCGTAACTTACACTTCTGTAACAACGAAGAACAGAATAGGAAAGATGGTCCGAACTATGACAGGGCTCACATAATTAGACCTGTCATCATGTCATGAATGATTTCAATGATTCGTTTCAGAAAGCTATATAATAATACAGTTACTCAGTCTGTTGATGAGCATAATATAAAATTCAAAGGACATAATGCTATGAAGCAGTACATAAAAAATAAACCAGTGAAATGGGCTTTTTTTTGTGGTGCAGGTGTGATGCAACAACGGGTTATTCGTTTCAATTTGATTTATATACTGGCAAACGAATTTCTGGTACTGAATATGGATTAGGTGAGTCAATAGTATACTTGATACCACGTCTGTATCAAGCATATCACGCAGGTCTCTGAAACGACCGCTGTCTACGCACCAGATGGAGAAAACCGATATTAGGAAGAGATGCGTAAACTGCGCCAAAACTAAAAAAGAAAATCGCACACATAATATATGTCTTTCATGTCATGTTAACCTTTGTTACACAAAACAAAGAAACTGCTCTACTGAATATCATTCCGCCTGTTTTTTTTATATTTACGCTTGTATAAGTCAAACGAAACTTCAAATTTTATAGAGATCAAAGTACCCTTTTTTCTAAGCTAAAGTGTCTGGTTTTCCTTATGATTTTTGCCTTAGTCTAATTTTTAACTAAAGTAAATAATAAATAATATTAAAAAACCTATTATTTATCATTGCCAACTCTCATAGTACCTGAAAAAAAAAATGCTCATAAATTTACTTAATATCTCCCTTGATGACCATAGGGACACATGTGTTCCTTAAAATTTCGCGTATTTTTGGAAAAAAAAAAATATTTTCACATCAGACGTGTAACCTTAACCACAAATTAACCATAATCCAGTAATCAAATAATTTTTTTTCGCTCATACTTCTGTGGTCCTGAAAGGGTTAATACAATTTTTTCCCCTCTACAAAGGGAACTACAGAAAGATTTGTTAGGTCAGTGACCCCTCCAAATAATACCGATACTTTCTCAACAATCCCATCGTAACAAAAAGAAACTACCATCCAACTCGTCAGCACCAAAAAATTTTAAGAAGCCCTAAAATCAGGCAAAAATGCAAAGAGCTGATAAAAATAAGAAGCACTACGATGCCAGGTCTTCAGCGCCCTCAGGGTGGAAGACAGATATTGACAACCACTGCAACCTTATAGCAGGACGTCTGAAAAGGTTTGGAGAGGTGTGGAAAAGGAAGTTGGCTCCACCGTATATACTAAAGCTCATAGAAAGAATATCTGTTCCATTGACGAAAAGACCACCACTGATATCAAACACGCCCTCAAATCTATCTCGTCTGCAGACCCCGCTATCCACCAAAATGGAAACCGAAATAAAGACAATCCAGATCGGTGCTTTAGAGATTTGCCAATCCAAAACCGTATTTTTATCCAGAATGTTCCTTGTTCCAAAGATGTAAGACCAGTCTTAAACCTGAAACTGTTAAACAAATTCCTGAAACCGAAACCATTCCGGCTTTTAAATCATCTGGAAGTCCCAGAATTTCTTTGGATTTCTTTGGGAGAAAGACGATTTTATGGTCAAACTGGATTTATCGGATGCCTACCTGCATCTTCCAATAAAACAGGCCCATCGCAGATTCTTAGCAATATCCTACAACGACCAGTGTTATCAGATGACTGCATTACCTTTCGGCCTGTCCACAGCCCCGCTATTGTTCGCGTGAGTCACAAACTGGATCGCGGCAACCATGAGATCCCAGGAAATCCGCATTATAGCTTACCTCGACGATTTCCTTCTAGCGGGTCAAGACTACAAGCTACTTGTTCGACAGAGTTATAAAGTTCCTAATAGACTTGGGCTGGATCATAAATTGCGAGAAGTCTGCGCTAAACGCATCTTAAACACAGGAGTATTTAGGAATTTACTGGAACACAAAGGACAACATAAAGCTCTTAAATCGTACAAAAATAAAAAGACTGAAGAAGTTATTGAAGGCTACAATCAACAGAAAGACTTGGACGTGGACAAAAGCGAAGTCATTTTTGGGAAGTCTCGTCTTCGCAAGTTTTGTGGTTCCTCTCGGTCACCTTCATTGCCGCGATATTCAAATAGCTACCAACAAGTTAAGCATGTGGCTCCCAAATCAAAGACAACATATTCCCAGAGAGGCCACGACCTAACTCGAATGACTGGCAGTAGTGGAAACCTATGCGAGTTTAGATTGCAGAGAAAAGTCTGCTCTGTTCACAAGTGCCTTCAGTCGGACCTGAAATTTCAAGTTGGCATGGATATTCCCTCCGCCAACTTTAATCCCTCAGATCTTGCAACATCTGAACCAAGCTGATAGGCCCTATTAGGACAAAACTTTCTGGAGAGCGGACCTACGAAAAAGAGAGTTAGCACCGCCACTTCAAATAAGGAATCTTTAACATCACCTCCAGGACTTGACTACGGGCACCACCACCAGATGTGAAACGATTAAAATTGGAGGCCTGGAAGGTTCGGGGTGGGGTAATCTTGTCAAAAGTTGGTCGGTAGAAGAAATTACACTACTGAAAGGCTCATGGCGAAAATCATCTCTTAATACTTACAAAGCTGCATGGAATCGATGGCGAGATTGGTGTAAATCTAAAAACTTGCAATGTTGCGTTGGCCCTCTGTATAAGTTATCTTCATAGAGATTTGGGTCTATCGGCGAGCACTACTAGAGTGCACAAATCCGTAGTTTGCACCTTCGCCGACCCGTGAAACTCAAGATATTTAAGTTCTGATATTCTGGTAAAAAGAATGCCGAAGAGCGTTGAGGTTTCTGTAACCAAAATCTTCTAGTATATTAAAATCTATTTGGGATATCTCAAAGCTTATTGATTGGCTGCCCCAAAATCCCCCCGACGAAGAAAACTTGTATCAGGTTTCCAGGCATTGTAGCGTTTTTACTATTACTAAGTACAGGGCGTCATATTCATGATTTAACCCGGTTACATTTGACCCAGAAGGACATAGAAATTTCCCAAGATTCC